CGACCGCCGCTTTTCTTGCTCTGGTTCTATCACGCAGACACCCACATTCTGTAAATTTGACTTGTCCTGCCTTCCCTTCGTAGATCACGGATGAACTAGGAAGAGCTGGTTCGAAGCCCGGCCTCCCACTCAGTAAGGGGCGTTCCCACTCGGTGCGTCCCGTCCTGGGAGGGGGCCCGCTCTCACGGACTGCAGAGGCGCTCAGAGGATGCAGGGGTGCGGAACTGCAGTGCCACAGCGCGCCCAGCATGGGTCATGTTTACTCTTGGAAGGGCAGTGCCAGGCCTCCGCCTGGCCCTTGTGGCCCAAGCTAACTCGGGCTCCAGGATAAACACCCATTCAGTCACACAAGGCCCCTTTGTCCCGGGAGAGAGGCTCCGGCCCAGGACGCTGCCTGTGTCCTCCGTCCAGGCTCAAGCCCGGCTGGCCGCCCTGACACATCCAGCTGCCCTGCTGCGGCCTCCAGGCAGACATGGGCTTGGCTGAGAGAGGCCCAGTGGGGGACAGGGCCTTGGGAGTGGCCAGCCAGGCAGCAGAGTGGCCGGACGGCAGAGTGGGGTGAGAGGACTCTGGGAGACAAGCGTCCTGCCCTGCTGAGCAGTGGGAGCCCTGTGGCCGCATGGGTGGCCTGACTTGGCTCCAGCGCTCCCTCGGCCAAGTGAGGACGCCTGAAGGGGTCAGTCCTGCCGGCCTGCGGCAAGCAGAGCCGAGGACGGCTGGTGAGCTAGAGGTGTCTGGCCGAGAGCTGCAAGCCAGGCCCGACCCCTCTAACAGCCAGACCTCCAGGCTCCGGCGCTGGCGCACTCAGCCAGGACTCTGTCCAGAGTAGGGGTGGGATGGGGGCCCCTGGCTAGGATGAAGGTAAGATGGGAGGTCCCTATCCAGGGTGGGGGTGGGAAGGGGGCCTCCATCCATTGTGAGAGTACAATGAAGGGGTCCTTATCCATGATGAAAGTAAAATGGGGAAGCCCCTGTCCACTGTGGGGGTGGGATGAAGGTAGGATGGGGTCCTTATTCAGGGTAGGGGTGGGATGGGGGATGTCTTTGCCCAGGATGAAGGTAGGATGGGGCTATGGGGGACCCCAAATTTGGGGTGGGATGAAAAGTCCTTATCCAGGATGAAGATAGGATGGGGGTCATTGGGGGGGGGACCCTGGTCCAGGTGGGGGTAAAGTGAAGATTGCTGTCCATGGTGGGGGTGGAATAGGGCACTTATATAGGGCAGCTGTCCAATACAAAGGTAGGAGGGGGTCCCTTACCAGAGTAGAGTGGACGGGGGTCCATGTCCAGGGTACTAGTAGGGTAACAGAGTCCTTTGTCCGGGGAGGGGACTGATAGTGGAATCCCTGCCTGGAGATGGGAGAGTTTTTGCCCAGGGTAGGGATAAGTAAGGGGTCCTTGCCCAGGCAGGGTGGATGGGGGGGCCCATGTCCAGGTTAAAGGTAGCATGGGAGTCCCTGCCTAAGGTGGGGCCAGATGGGGGGAGTGGGAGTCCCTGTCTGGAGTGGAAGTAAATAGGGGTCTCTGCTCAGGAAGGAGTTAAGGAGACCCCGCGCAGGGTGAGGGGCAATGGGGAGTGCCTTCCAGAGGGATGGCTCCATGTCCAGGATGAAAGGATGACAGACTGTCCAGAAAGGGGACTGAGAAGGTGCTCTTGCCTGGATTGGGGGCTGATAGGGGAGTCCTTGCCTGGGGCGTGGGTGGATGGGGGGAATCTCTGTCCAGGGTGGGGTGAAGTAAGAGTTCCTTCCCAAGGTAGAAATGAATTAGGGGTTTCTTCACAGGGTAGGAATAGGGTCCCTTCTGAGGAGGGTGGGATGGGGTCCATGATCAGGATTAGGTTGGTTAGGATCCATGTCCAAGATTAGGGTGAGTGGGGGGTCCGTGCCTTGGGTGGGGGTAAGATAAGGATTGCTGTCTATGATGGGGCCCCCCCAGACAGAAACTGTCTACCCTCGGTGTGGGGAGGGTCAGAGAGGAACCAGCTGGCCGGAACCCGACTTTGGGGGCTAAATCCTGCTGCCCGGGACCCTCGTACCCCCTCCTTGCTACAGTCTTGTCCTGACAGGTCGGACCTGGATCTGATCTGGTGTCAGTGGGCTCTGCAGGCCCAGGCCAGGCCTGGGTGGCCTCCTCCTGCCTAGAAGTGTCCTTTCAGACACTTCCCCCGCCCAGGGCTAGAGGTGAGTCATGGCAGTGTCGGAGGGAGCAGGGACAGGGTGTGGCAGGACGGGAGAAGGCATGGGGGGACAAGCCTGAACCCCTTCTCATGCCCGAGTCCTCCACCCAGGTCGGCCCAGTGTCACCAGGCCACGTGTCCCAGGTCGTTCCATCACCAAGGAGGGAAGCCTTGCCAAGTGCCCCGGGATCTGGGCCCAAAGAGCCGCCCTAGATGTCTCATGAGGCGCTGTGGCTGGCTGAGAGGGACCTCGTTCACCCAGTTCCACTCCTGGTCCCACTCTACCAGCCAGTGTCCCTTACACAGGTCAGGGTGGTGGGGGAGGCAAGGAGCCTGGACACCCAGGAGCTGCCATGCTGGGTCCCTCACCCTCATATCGCAGCCTGCAGGCGGCAGCGACCCCTGGTGTTAGCTCAGGAAACCCGGGTCCACTGGTAGAACCAGAGCTGTCCTTGGAAATATCCCCACTGTGGTCCTGCCATCTCTCCCTCCAACGGGGCTCAGTGTCTTCCACCCTGTGACACCTATGAGCAGAGGCCCAAGGGCCGATTCCAGACTCACCACTGCATTCAGGACGTGGCCACCTGGCCTGGACCTTCTGAACCACGCCAGCTGATAGGTCAAATACCGCGTGGACAGGCTGGTAAGCGACCACACTGCGGGAGACTTGGGCCAGTGACCCCAGTCATGTCAGGATCTTCCCATGCTCATTCTCAGGATTTCACGCCCATAAAACTACCTCACTGTAACAGCAGCCATTTGCGCTTGGGAAACCGATTTTCTTGGGAATCCGTTCACAGAACGAGCCTGAGGTTACAGGGAGGAGCGGTGTTCAAGACGGTTCACTACGCAGTCCCATGGCTAAGAATCTGACGCCCTGAACCCCGCCTTCCTCTCCCAGCCCCACCTTCCGCGGCAGTTAGGAACGACCTTAACAATGACCTGAGCATCGAATGCATGATGACCGCCTTTCCTGTGTTGTGTGCTCTTAAGCAGGAACAAGCCATCACTGACTCCCCAGACGTTCTCAGAGGCAGCAAATCTCTCGGGAGGAGACTGCCCATTCTTCTCCCACAGAGTAGCTGGTGGATTTGAACCACGTGCCTTTGTGACTGCAGCACAGCTCACTACTAGGCCACCAGAGCCTTGCCATGGCCATGGGACAAGGAAGAATGATGTCACGGACTGTGGAGGACGCAGACTGTCCCACAGACTGCAGGAAGCACCCAGTGGTCTCGACATACACTCCGGGGTGCCCCTCAGCACCCAGCATGTGGGGCATGACGTCGGGAGGGGTGGCTCCCTGTACAAAGGCATTGAGCTTGGAAGAGTGAAGAGTCAGCAAGGTGAGATGGACGGAAGGTGACCGCTCCAGCACAGGGGATACCGAGCCTGGCCCAGCGTCGGGCAGGACTGCACGTGGGGGAGCGGAGTCAGAGCTGCTGTGACTCACCGGTCCTAGCAGGCAGCCCGTCTTGTCATCGTTACACAACTCGGAGGGAGTGTACGAAGAACTGACGACTGAAGTGTTAGCACAGCGCGTTGGAGGACCGTCAAGAGGACCAGAGTCCTGCGGGCTCCTCACAGGCAAGGATGGTGCCTTGTCTCTCTGGGAATTTTTTTAGCCTGGGAGACTTTCTGCCAGGACACGGAGGGCCGGAGGGATGTAGAGGAAGCCCCTCAAGGAGGCCGCGGTGGTGACAATGGACTCAAGCGTGGCCAGGGTGGGGGTGCAGGGCAAGTTCCGAGTCCACTGGATGACACCGACGAAACACGCTAACAAGATGCACAAGGTGGACGGAGGACCCCACAGCTCCGTCATCTGACTGTAAATAAGCTTGATAGGAATGCAAGTTAGGTGCACAGAACACTTAGGGGGTGAGATCACGCAGAGGCACTGTTCCGTCAGGTGCCCCCAGGCCCTTTCCTCTACACCTCACAGCAGCGACCCAGGGCTGACAGTGGCCGCAGCAGTGGGCTCAGAAGCGCTGAGGGCTCTGGACAGGCCAGGGCTCAGGCCCGCTGTTCACAGGGTCGCCATGGGGAGGACTGGCCAGCACCTCACAACCCAGTAACCCTGTGAACAGCGCTGCAGGGACACCCGACTTCCCAGGCCCAGACCTCCAGAACGGCTCGATCTTGAGGTCCTCCAGGAACACGTGCACTCGAGCTGCAGGCTTGCTCCTTCCTTGGCGGAACTGGTTAGATCTGCGCCTCAGGCCGGATGACAGTGACGTCCACCGGGATGACTCAGGACAATCCTCTTACAGTGAGCCGATTACAGGTGCCATCCACGCTTACCCGACACCAGATTAGAGCTTGCTTGCTCACTTGCACCTGTGGGCCTGGCAGGCGGACAGCACCGAGCTAACCAGGGCACCTGAGTTTCTATCTGGATTTGCCCAGGGTTGTGAGGTTGGGATGCACTTGCCCAGCTCCAGGGCCACCAGGACAGAGGTCCTCCCAGGGTGGGCTCTACTCCATCCAGCATGGCTGCCTGACCCCGCAGCCAGCCCCCGGCACCCGTCCTGAGAATACACTGATCCTGTGGGCTGAGGTGGCACAGAGGGCCGGAGGGTGGCAGCAGCTGCACATGGTGCAGACCCAGCTTGAAGCCAGGACGCCTTCACTCTGACCAGAGACACGTCAAAGCTTACATCTAACAGAAACTTTATTAAGTCTTTATTTTAAAGCAATCTAACTTAAAAATGAGTTAGGTAAGAGAAAAGTACACAAGCCCTGCTTAGAAACACAGATGAACGGACGGACGGACGGACATACAGATAGATAAATAGGAGGGAGGGGCTGTGGTCGAATCCAGTCAGATCCTCTCCATCTTTGAGATCAGGTCATCGCAGATCCTGGTCAGTTCCTCGTTCTCTTTAGTCTGAGGGAAAGAATGGGAAGTGCTCCATTCCAGCTTCCTCAGAGGGGGGCCAGGCCAGGTGGTCCCCGCAGTGCTGCAGACAGCCCCGCAAGGTCAGTCCTGCAGGGTCAGCGCTGTACACAGCCCCGCAGTCAAGGCCTCGGACCCTGTAGTACAGGCCTGGGAGCCCCAGAGTGCTTGAGACAGCCCCTCAGGGTCAGCCCCACAGTCCAGGCCTGGGGGCCCCATAGCGCTGCAGACAGCCCCGCAGGGACAGCCCCACAAGGTCAGTGCTGTACACAGCTCCGCAGTCCAGGCCTGGGGGCCCCACAGTGCTGCAGACAGCTCCACGAGGTTAGCGTTGTAGACACCCCGCAGGGCAGCCCCACGGGCAGTGCTGCACACACCCCACAGCTCCAGGCCTGAGGGCTCCGCCTGGTCTGCCCGCAGAAGTCCAGGCGAGAACATACCTTCTGTTCTATGGTCTTCTCCAGGGACTGGACCCGCATCTGCTCCTTCCGCAGGCTTGCCTGGAAGGCCATCACCTCGGCCTGGGCCTTGCTGCGCACCTGGGCGATCTCTTCGTTGGCTCTGGGGAGGAGCGAGGAGGCTGAGGCCAGCGGGAGCCGGGCCTGCCTGCTCCTGGTCCACATCTGTCTGGGACCCCTCCCGCCCCTGCACGCCCAGCGCTGGTGCTGTCGGGTGACGGCTCCGTCACGGGGACACGCCCTGCCATGGGGTTGCCAGGCCTTTCCCGGGCGGTTTCCCTGCCTGTCCCTGCTCCACACACTCACAGACTGAGCTTCTCTTCCGCGTGGGCCTTCAGCGCCTGGTAGCGCTGGCTCTCCTTCTCGATGCGCAAGATGTAATCCTCTACGCACTTCTTTAGAGACTCTTCATTCTTCAAAGGAAGAGGGTGTCAACTGTCAGCAGGAGAGGGAACCTCGGCGCTCAGGGGCTGGCTGGCTCGGGGTCATCCCTCGGGAAACCCAGCCTGCCTTCCAAGCAGCAGGTCTCCGTACCCGCAGGGAGCTGCTGTGACAACTGTTCTTTCCTCTGGGATTGCAGTACAGCGTCTTACCAGGCCACCAGAGCTCCCTCGGGCAAAGGGAGGTGGTTCGAATTCACCAGCTGCTCAGTGAGACAAGAGTCTCCTTTTGCGTGATTTACGGCCTCTGAAAACCCGTTGGAGGGTCAGATACGGATCATTTCTACCTTGACAACAATGCGTCAGTCAGGTTCCCTCCTCAACAGTTACACTAAAGCAGGAGGAGCAGAGAACGAGGGAAGGAGACCGTGGGAAGGAGACCGTGGGAACAGGCTCGAAGGAAGACCCACCAATAAGCTATGACACGCAGGTGACACAGCCTGCCCGCTGAAGATGGAACTCTGAGCGTTTAGAGAGGAAAGCCCAGGGCTACAGCACTCAGCGCGGGCCACACCTCCACCTCAGGGAGCAAGTCCTTACAACACTGACACTGTCAGGAATGTCACTTTCTTCGTATCCACAACACTCTGGGAACAGCAGTCAAGGAACAAGATGACCCACTGCACGAGGCAACCCTGCTGTCAGTGCTCAAGAGCAAGGATGTCAGCTTAGAGACTAGGGCGCGCCCGACCCAGGCCCTGGCATCCTGACTGCTGCGTACGCAGGTGAAAGCAGGAGCAGAGAAGGCTGAGAAGAGCCAACGCCTTTGAACTGGGGTGGGAAGAACGGAGTCGAGCACAGACGGCCAAGTGCACGCAAGGTTGGCCTGGAAGCAGCATGGACGGCCAGACCTGGTGTCCCACCCTCGAGCGCAGTGTCCGGAGGGGCGCTGACAAGGACAGCAGGCTGGGGAACGTGGAGGATCAGCAGAGGAGAGGAAGGCGACCTTCAAGGTGGCTCGACACAGTGACTGCACGACGGTGGAGACTGTGGAAGGGCAGGCTTTGGCAGGCTCTCTCCTGGGGTCAGAGTTGACACCACAGCATCTAAGAACAGTAGGAACTCAGACTGCCTTGAAGACACGTGGTGGGACTACAGATGTCAAATGCAATCTGGGAAGCTCCCGGAGGGAAAGAGACTGGGAGCCTGGAGACGGGACGAGCGATGAGGGCACAGCCAGAGCAGAGCGGGGTGCCAGCCGCAGGGCTGGGTACTTGGAGCAGCAGCCGGAGGGTGGAGCTGGGTTTGCCGGAAGACAGAGCTGGAGAGCTGGGCGTGCCAGGGCTGAGGCTTAGTGGGGGGACGAGAGCCCCGAGGGCTCATCAGTGAGCTGCCGGGCTTTGCGACACCAGCTGGGGCTTGTCAGCAGCCACGCTGGCCTTTCTAAGAGCCCAAGGAACCGACAAGCAGGAGGAGAGAACAGCACAGGAGCTGATGCACCACTCAAAGTGCTCACCAGTTTGTCAGCATGTGGAGGGCAGCCGCCCGACGGACTGACTGAAGGGATCCCAGGGGTTCCCACTCCAAGCAACGGGACCCAACAGAATGTGGACATTACAGAACACTATCACCAATATCAGCTGCTGAAAATCATTCAGAAACGGCTAGAACAGTACACTGACAGCTGCCACAAACAAGCTGGACTCAGAAGAGGCTGTGGAACAAGGGATATCACGGCTCATGTCAGATGGCTCTCCAGTGAAAACCGGAATGGTGTTTACTTGTGTTTTGCTGACTACACAAGGGCATTTGACTATGCAGACTTCTGCTTTAGGCCGTAACTTAGTACGTTTAGCGTGGAGGAGAAATTCCAGAACTCAACCGTGCGCCTGAGAAGCCTCCACGCAGACCAAGAGGTAGCTGACAGAACAAACAGGAGCACATGCCCGGTTTAACACCAGGGAAGGGGTCTGCTGGGGCGCTCTCCGCACAGGGGTGCGATCTTTCTCAATACCTGTTCAACCTGCGTGTGGAACAGCTGAGAAGGTGGGCTAGGTGAGGAAGAGTGTGGCATCAGGACTGGAGGAAGACTCGTGAACAACCCGTGTGAGGCAGGCGATGCAAGCTTGCTCGCAGAAAGTGAAGACTTGAAGCACTTCCTACAGGCCTACAGTCTTCAATGAGGGTTACACTTCAACATCAAGACAACAAAAATCCTCACCACCGAGCTAGCAGGCAACTTCGTGACAGACAGAGAAAGAATGAAGTTGCCAATGATTTCATTTTATTTGGATCCATAAGCAATGCCCAGCAGTTAAGAAATCAGAAGGCCTGTTGGCCTGGGAAAGTCTGCTGCCCACAGTTCTAAAGAGCAAGGATGTCGTGTAAAGACTAAGGTGCGGGAGCTCTAGTGGCAAGAAGCTGCACTGTAATCCCAGAGGTGCACGGTTCGAATCTGCCAGATGCTCTGACGGAGAAGGAGGGGAAATCTCCTGTACCTGTCAGATCCAATTTAACGGTACACACAAAAAAATAATTTAAAAAAGTAAAGGCTAAGGTGCTCCTGGTCCAAGCCTCGTCCTTTCACATGTGTCCCCTGCAACCTGAAGTTGGGCAACAACCAACGAAGACGAAGAATCGATGCCTTTGAATTGCCGTGCTGGTGAAGAGCACTGACGGCCACAGGAACAAACCTGCCTCACAGCGGGTGCGACCAGAGCGCCTCACCTGGCGGGGGGGCCTGTTTCCAGGAAGAGCCAGGCCTTGGCTGGGAAGGTGACGGAAGGTCAGAGGAGGAGAGGAAACCATCTGGAGCAGGGGGGGAAACTGAGAAGGGCACGAGACTGGGCAGGGACTGGCTGGATCTGTCGTGTCCCCCCAAGTAGACCTATGTATAACGCTGCCCTGGGAAGGACGCCCGCTGGTCCAGGTCCAGCAGCGGGAAGCTGAAGTCAAGACCCATGGAGATGCTGAGGGTGCCCCCACAGCTCAAGGGAGGAACCGGAGCAAACCCCAAGCCCCCAGCTGGCCCTTGGGCGAGCTGGCACTCTGAACTGACGCAGAATCAGGCAGGGTCCTTCCTGCTGTGGGCAGGGGTCACTACACGTCCAAGTGGGCTCATAGCACCTAAGAACATACCCTTTACAAGAAAGAATTCCTTAAAGACATCCACTCGTGGTGTCACCTCCCTAGGAAGCTCCAAGGCAGCTTATCTTCTGACGTGTTCCTGCTCACGTCAACGCCCCCGACCTGGGTCTGGAGAACCCCAGGGCTGGTCCACCCAGCTCCTGTCCAGGCAGGCCAGGCGTCACCCCACGTCGCTGCACAACGTACCTTGTGGTAGCCTTCAATCACCTCCTTCTGCTTCTCGAGCCGCTTGAAGAGCTCAGAAAACGACTTTTCCATGGAGTCCAAGTCTGTGGTGAGCTGGTCACGTTCTTTCAGAACCTTCTGGAGCCTAGCTTCAGCAAGCACTTTCTCGGTCTTGGCCTCCTCTTGAGAAAAGACAAGAATGCACCAGCTGGGGCACAAATGACCAAGAATATACTGGACGGACTGAGGGGTGACAGCACAATGGGCCCTCAGCTCCCTGAGGTGGTCAGCTGTCTCGGCTTGCACCCTAAGCACTCACCTGTCACTTGGCGTGCGATCCCCTCAAACTCGTCCATGATCTTTCTGTGGGGAAAAGGTGTTGAGTTCAGGAACCCTGGGGCTGAGGCAGGCCAGTCCAGGCGGTTGAGCCCCAGTTTATTCAACCTTAACCCATCTCCAAGTTCTTGGCCCACCTTACTCGATCTCCCAGTTCTTACCCCATCTCCCAGCTCCTGGCCCACCTTACCTCACCCCCTGGTTTTGTCCCACCCGCTGGTTCTCCCCCCACCTCCTGGTTCTTCCCCAG